CCTTTCCTTTGAGTGTAGTAAGCCGGCCATACCCTCTGGTTACACCCAGGTGCCTCATTCTTTCCAGCCCATAATTATCTCCTTTCTCTACTGATTCTGTTGCTTGTTTCCAAAGGGCCATGACCACATCTACCTTATCATGTGTCAATTCACCACCCAGTATTGCAGATCCAGACAATCTTTATGCCTGGTTATTACCTACCACGCCGCCATAGCCTGGAGAAAAGATCCAAAATATGCTCACTACCCGTGACCTTCCCAGCGAAGCTTGCCACTCTGTTCGAAGCATCCCTGTCTTCACCTTTCTCAACATGCTTTCAGTTTGTTACAATTACGACATGCATAAACATACTGCTCTCTAGCCACGGAAGAGCTGCAGTTACCGACTCCATTTTCATTCTTATGCTAGATGTTGTGGTGTTGTATGCTAGGCTATCTTGCACTAAAGATTTTTTATTAGCTTTCTTTACGAAACCCTAGGCACTTCTCTTTCCTCTTAACACTGAAACATCTGAATCGATAATCAGATCACCTGAGCGTGGGTTGTCGTGAATGAACTGTTGGACTTCAACCTCTGTAGCCTCAGCTGGCCACTCACTTCACTCCACGCCCAATGTGATCATAACCCTACACATGTTAGACTTTCCCTCTAGTACTCTAACCCACTCCTCTCCTCGTCCCAATGTTCTCCAGCATGCATACTTGTCTTATTGTGTCTTCTGCTTGAGCCTTCCACGATTTTTCCCTTGCAGCCTCTGACTCTTACCTGCAGCCAACCCTTTATACAGATGGTGTTCTTTGTCTGCAGCTACTCTGAGGTATGGCTTAGCCTGCAGCACCTTTAGCCTAGCCGCAATAATCGGCAATGCAATGTATCGCATGCACACAATTGGGGCTCTCTTGTACATCCCAGGATCCCCAGCAAAACCTTATTCTGTATGTGCTCCAGTTTCCCTAGCTGACTCTTCGAGACAATGAGTAACCCCAATCCATAAACAATCACTGAGATGATTAAGAGCTGATGAAGTGTGAACATCATTCTCTGTTCCATGTCCATCGCTGCCATAATCTTTAGTGCAGTTAGACCTGTTTGATCCGTTGTCACAACCCCCTCTATGAAATTCTTGAAAGACAAACTTCTGTTAAAGGAGATTCCCAGGTACCGCAGTCTGCTGTCTTTTTTTATGTCCCTGCTATTTATTTTGAGTCTGTGAACATCAGCTCTAACAATCCTGTTTTCCAAGGAACAACACAGGAGGGTTGCTTTTTCTGGGTTGATTACAGCACTCATCTCTGTACACCAGTCGATCACCATAATTAAATACTGTCAGCAGTAACTCTTCAGCTATTTGCAGCTATCTGCAAATGTCAAATTCTGCAAACTCATTGTGTTTCCAGGCATGCAATCTTGCTCGTAAAAATATTGAACAGCAAAGGTGAAATTGCAGATCCATGTGGTAGTCCTGAAGCTATTTTACATAGGTCAGAGGTCTGTAAACCCAGGCAGAGAGCTACCGGGCGAGTATACAAAACAGCTGCTATCCAGTTCACCATCCAAGGACAAACTCCCTTCTCCATAAGTGCTTTCATCAAGATAACGACTCTGCTGTATTTATCTTCTATCTAAATCGAGTGCCGCTACCAACGTTTCCTGTCTGTGGCTGCATTTGACCATGTGTCCTTCCCTGACCGGTAACTTTATTACCCTCGTGGAAGATTTCCTTCTTGTAGCTTACCCGCCATTATCTTCTCTAACACTTACCAAAGGTGTTTTGTAGGGTTACGATCCTAAAACCGCTGAGTGTTGAATGATTCTTGCCAGGATTAGAAAGTGGAATCAGGTAGCTGTGCATCCGTTCTTCTGGGACTGAAGCTGTCCTAATGCTCTAGTTAAAACAAGCACTCATCTTCACAAGGTCTGCAACAGTCATGTCTTTCATGTGGGAATATCCAACCCCGTCGGGTATTGGTGCAGTGTCTTTAGCCCTTTTCAGAACACGTTTAACATCTTTCACCTGTTTGGTGTCTTCATAATGTCTGTTCTTTAAGATGGCTGCGATATCTTCTCTAACTGTATCTCTGTTATCTCCATCATTGTGGTCTGTCTGTGAAATACAACTTTTCAGGAATGCCTTCCCCTTCTTTCTGTGAATAGCTCCTACTAAGCTAGGCCGACCTTTCTTGAGCATCTGAAAATGTAGCTTTCAAAACTCTCCCAGTGTTTTTTCGCCCCAAATCTAATCAATAAAATGCTCCCATTTGACTCTTCTGACCTCTGCCACACAGAGCATGAAAAACTCTATCTTATCTTTCTTATTTCTTTCCGCTCACTCCAACTCCTCCTGTGAGCTCAGGGCTGTCTGTCGCACTCTCTTTAAACGCTTTACTACAGCTCTCTTTAACTTCCATGTCTGTTCAACCTCTGATGTCATCATGAAGCCTGCACAAAAGTAAATCTGCCGGCCCTCTTACATGCCCTCCAAGAAGGGTGATAGTCCGCTCATACTTGAAAGGCCTATGAGCTCTTGAAGCCTTGACGTTTTTGGATTTGGAGATCAATACAGAACATGGCAGACGGTCATTTCCTTGATCGCCCAGGACAGTCCATTTGGTGTCCAGTACTGCTGACTGGGTTATCAAAGAAAGGTCAATAACCGTGTCTGCATCGCCGGGCCTCATTGCCACTCTAGTTGGCCTCCCACCATTTAAACGGACAGGGTCTGAATCGACCACCGCGTAAGCAAGGGCAACGCCCTGTCGGTTTTCCCGAGTAGTGTCCCATTCATTTATCAGTGCATTGAAATCCCTACAAATGAGGTGCCTGTTGCCAGGGATCCCTTCCAGATCTTTTAAAAATTCCCACTGTTTCTTTGTTAAATCAGGAGCCAACGGCAGCATATACATTTATTATGTTCAACGTAGGCCGCCAATCTCCATCTGTATTCTCTGCACCTCTCTAGCATCATGATCCCAAAGACTCACATTAAAGCACCACATGTTTTCAATCCCTCCTTCACTAGTAGACACTGCCCATGTATCCCATGAATGTCCAACAGGCTTTTCCTATCTGACAAATCCAGGGCACTAATATTTGCATTTAGCTTCTGAAGCATGGTTATATCAAAATCGTGGATCAACCTCTCTAGTACTGGCCCTGTCCGTCTGACAACTACGACAGTTCCAAAAACACACTCTTACATTATTGAGCCACAGCCGTTCTGTTTTTTGCCTAAATTTCTTGCCCTTCTATTACTCTGCTTCCTTCTCTCAGTATTTCCTCGTTTTCTCCTCTCCACTCTCTCTTCGATGCTCGCTGAGGATGGCGTCAAGCGCAGAACACGTGTTCCGTAGCTCCGGAGACAATTTTTATGAAATGAAAATGAAAAATTCATATGTTGAAGTTGTTATGGAGCAGGAAGTAATCGGTCACCCTAGTAGAGCATGCCTGCTAGGGAAGAAGCAATGGATATCTTTTAGGAATCCATACGCCTGGCGCCGTCCCTCCCATCAGACCAGAGGTCCACGTTCACGGCTGCCTATCCCACAGCCATTCAGCCTCTCAGCACACAGATGTACTTTAGGCTTTTTTTTTTTCTTTCAAGATTGTCTCCTTTAGATCCGTTGTGTTTTGTCCCAGGACCACCAGGTCTTGGTTAACGGGGTCACATTGTAACTGATGTGCCTCATCGGTCCCGCACAACGGTCTTGACTGTATAAACGGTCTACCAGCTTAGAGGACTTAACACCTGACTGCGCCCTTTTCACCTATAAGGCTAGACCCAGAGACTCACAAGGGGAACAGCTGGTGTGGTCCACTGCCCGAGAGTCTTGGCCACTACAGCCCTGAGTCTTCAAGACCCTTGACACCTGTATAAAATATAGATCTAGCCCTATATGTGTGACACAGTTGTATCTCCAGGTTTCCCAAGTATGAACATGCCCAGACGAAACAAGTGATTATGATAGTCTTAATCTGTCTCTTGAACATGTTTGACAACACGGCCAGTGATCCAACAAATCGATTGATTACAAGCTTGTTTATTAAACGATATAATGTCAATTTAAGCAAAACGAACATATTTCATTTAAATACCAGTAGGAACACTTCAGTATATTATTGATGGTATTCATATGTAACGATAAGTTCTTTAAAAAAATGATGATTTATAACTTCAATGAATATTGCTTGATTACGAGCGGGTTATTAACTATCTCGACTGTTTCTCCAGTCTTTCTTAATGTCCTGTAGAAAATATCGTTTATAGCGAAGCGGAACCAAGTTTACTCCTTTATTTACATCTAGTAAACTCTTGTCACAAGCCCAAGTTGTCCTCGACCGTCCAGCTTCCCGGTCTTTGTCCTACTGTCCTCTCTCTATTCCTTTTCACAGCTCCTTCTTCTCTTCCTCATGTGGGTGATCTCTTATCTCTAATGCCCTCGTGTTGACCCTGTTCTCCCTCCGGCTTCTCTCACATTCGCAGCTCATCCGTCCACCTGTATTACAGTCATTAATCTCACGGGGGATCCTGTCATATCTAGTGCTATTTACCACCTCCATGCTTCATTGTATACATCCATCAATATCCGATGTCATGAGTTTATCAGGAATTGTACCTTGCCCACCCCTTGTCTGTGGCACCTGTTCATACGTACTCCCTAAAGGTTCCTGGCGTGTCTCTGTGTGGCCTTGTCTGACCAGCGCTCTAATCACCATTTTCTATCATGCCACCAACTGATAGACTGGCGTGCATTAATGAAGGTCTAAATGTATACATTCTCCATTTAACACCTGGTATTAACTCTTTTTCCTATATATGCCTTATGGGTCAAAAACGAGAAAAGGGATTTAATTTTTTTAACTCTACTAAGATCACTACATATAATTACTCACAAGAAATAATTTACAAAAATTCAGATGATTACCAGTTCCACTTGTTTCTTTTGTTTCAGAACGTTTTATAACTGTGCCTCTCCTTTTGATAATAATCACGACTGTTTATATGGTAAGTTTATTTTGGATGTTTGAAATAACTACAAACCCAGATTCGAACACACTCAACGACCAGAACAAAAGACACACACTAAATGTGAACACGGAAAAGATTGCTAACAAAGATATGGTGACTAGTATGAAATCTTCCACATGTGTATTCCCAGATGTGAATATCTTTGAGCCCAGCGTCGTAGCAATTGCTGGATTAAATCTCTCAACACTGCAGTGTGACGAATTTTACCTCCCCGATCTAACGTACATACAAGATACAACGATTATTGTGAATACCAGCAAGGTTCAGCAATATCACGGTAACGGCACATTCCAGCACTGTAAATATCGTCACATCTGGAGAAACGACAGCGATGATAATAGCTACATATACAGTGATTGGTCGGATCCTTTCACAGACAAGATACAACTTCCTAGAAATTCGGAGTTTGTAAGAGTGCAATGCTGGAATATCCGATCTGAACTAGTCTCCAACACCTACATGTGTCTGGTTCCAAGAAAAGAGGAATTTGATGGCCTCTACTTAGCGAGTCTAAAGAAGCGAGAAGTCGAGTCAGCGCCGAAAGAAACTTTGAATGTTGTTATGATTGTAATGGACTCGTTACAAAGAAATCAGTTAATCAGAGGCTGTAATGAGACATATGCTTATTTGATGAACACTCTAAAATCATTTGATCTAACAATGCACTCACAGCTGGCCAAAAACACGTTTCCAAATTTCATGCCATTGTTTACAGATCACTTTGAGCATGAAATCGACAGATGGTGGAACAAATCTCTACCTATGGACGCTTATGATATGATTTGGTACGCGTTTGAGAAAGCGGGTTATCGCACGACATACGCAGAGAGCAGTGACTGGGGCGCTTTTCACTGGCAGCGTAAAGGTTTCATACAACCATTTTCAAGATTCTATCCCCGACCACTCGACTTGGCGCTGAATGATGATAAAAGCCTTGGGCCGCTGTCGAAATATTGTGCCGGCAGTCAGCTGCATCTCAACTTTCGTCTAAATTACATTGGGCGTCTTCTAGACACATTTTCAGACAAGCCAGTGTTTGCTGTAGGAATGATGAGTAAAGAAACACACGATGACCAATCATATGCAAAATATTTCGATGAGCACCTTTTGAACTTCTATAAGTGGATGAGAGCTAAGGGTCACCTAAATAGAACACTAGTGGTAGCTCTTTCAGATCACGGAACCAGATGGGGAAAGTTTAGAGATTCCGTCAATGGACACTTCGAAAGTCGGACACCATTCACTATTCTAACATTTCCAGAATGGTTTTTGAAGAAATACCCAGACGTTGCTGAAAACTTACGAATAAACACCAAACGTTTGACGTCACATTTCGACACTCACGCAACTCTTCTAGACTTGCTGTACTTCAAGAGCGATTACCCGCCCCCACTTCCTCCAAACAGATATGGCCTGAGTCTTCTCAAAGAGATTCCCTGGAATAGAACCTGTAAAGAAGCTTCCATACCTGCAGAATTCTGCATGTGTGGCTACAGGGAAGTTGAAGACATCGATATCCATTCTGAGTTGTCCAAACATTTATCACATTTGTTGATAAAGTCAATTAACGAAATGATAGAAAATGTATGTGCTCAATATAAATTAACGCAAACCATACGTGTCGTAAAAGTTATTTTCCAAGGATCAGACACACAGAAACAGCAAGGCGATGCCTTGTATAAAGTGACAGTAAAAGCAGATCCAGGAGGTGCTATATTCGAGGCTTACAAAGAAGTTACAGGAATTCAGAATCCTTGGACATTTGCAAATTACATCTTCCGACTTAATTCTTACAAAGGCCAATCAGATTGTGCACAACACCCTTTAATTAAGCCGATGTGTTATTGTAAAAATTTGTTAGGATAATATAATTAGGAAAAAGAAAATCTGTGGCTGAATTAAGTATGTTCATTCTGGTATATCATTTACTGTTTTATCGGTTCTAATGTTAATTCATTTGTATTATTCCTTCATGAAAATATGCGAACCAATAAGGCTAAGAAACGAAAGTTGAATGCTTCAGGAAATTGAAAAAAATTAAATGGGATGATTTTAACAAAGGCCAACTAACAATTTAAATTTATGGGAAGCCACTGGTATCAACAATATATATATATATATATATATATATATATATATATATATATATATATATATATATATATATATATATATATATATATACATACATATATAATATAAAAGATAGCGATATAGTAGTCATATTCTTGGTGGGGGCAGGGGAGGGGCGGGGGAAACGACCAAAGTGTTGCTTAAATGCGAAATAAATGGACTGAAGAGAGAGGACGTTCATAACAAAGTCAACGACGAACGTACACGAAAGAATCCATAAGTTCTGGATTGGATTCCAGTTTTGATATCACAATAATTGCACAGGATTGAGCGAAATAAAAGATTAGCCTTCAAATCCTGTGTGACGTTTAACTGCACACAAGCATGGTTATGATGATGATGATTCTAAGGACGAATATCTTCAGCAATGCTCATCGACACTGGACAGCAAGTTATTTCGTAACTGTACGGTGTCCCAATCTGACTGTTTTATGCTGTTGAACAGGGTTTCTTGAATTCTCTCCTACTTGAGTTCAGAGGCTCGACTAAGTCGAAATTCTCTCAGTTCAAGTTGAGTCCTACGTCATTACCAATAGGTCCTAATTCAAGATTCACGTCAATGACATTAGGCCCTGAGTCAAGATTCACGTCGTTGACACCAAGTACCAAGTCAAGATTCACGTCCTTGACACAAAATCTCAAGTCAAGATTCACGTCATCGACACCAAATCCCAAGTCAAGATTCGCGTCATCGTCACCAAGTCACAAGTCAAGATACCCGTCATTGACACCAAGTCTCAAGTCAAGATTCACATTGACACCAAGTCCCAAGTCAAGATTTACGTCGTCGACACCAAGTTCCAAGTCAAGATTCACGTCATCGTCACCAAGTCTCAAGTCAAGATTCACGTCATTGAAACCAAGTCTTAATTCAAGATTGACGTCATCGACACCAAGTCCAAAGTCAAGAGTCACAACATTGACATCAAGTCCCAAGTCAAAATTCATGTCATTGACACCAAGTCTCAATTCAAGATTCACGTCATCGACACCAAGTACCAAGTCAAGATTCACGTCATTGACACCAAGTCCCAAGTCAAGATTCACGTCATTGACACTAGGTCCCTAGTCAAGATTCACGTCGTTGGCACCATGTCCCAAGTCAAGATTTACGTCGTTGGCACCATGTCCCAAGTCAAGATTCACGTCGTTGGCACCATGTCCCAAGTCAAGATTCACGTCGTTGGTACCATGTCCCAAGTCAAGATTCACGTCATCGACACCAAGTATCTAATCAAGATTCACGTCATCGACACCAAGTATCAAATCAAGATTCACGCGCTGACACCAAGTCTCAGGTCAAGATTTCCGTCATTGACACTAAGTCCCAAGTCAAGATTCACGTCATTGACATCAAGTACCAAGTCAAGATTCACGTCATTGACACCAGGTCCCAAGTCAAGATTCACGTCGTTGGCACCATGTCCCAAGTCAAGATTCACGTCGTTGACTCCAAGTTGAAAAATGCTTCTAACTTGTGTCCTGAGTCAAGTCACTTCACGTCATTTGCAAGTCGTGCATGGGACACTTGATATGGATAAATACAAGATTAGGAAAATACAAAATAGGAAATGGCAGTGTCAAAAACTCATTACCTATGTATAGCAGTGGAAAAATTCAATGTTATAGCTTGATGAATCGAACTAGAATTTAATATGTCCTGTTGTATATGAAGACGTTGTTAAATGTGCCCACTGATTACCCAACCTCACAATGGCCGGCCATGAAGAACGAGTCAAACCAAGTCGTCGAAACTGCAAGTTATGAGTCCAAAGTCGCATTGCAAGTCATTATTTACGCAAATAATTCTGACTCCAAGTGCGGCGACTCGAGTCCTGGTCTCTATTGAATTCCTAACAGAAGGAGAGATGCCAAAGGAAGTGGGCTGGATTCATTTCATGACATTTAAACTATTGACCATGGTATAACATAATGGAGGAGCAGACTGTGGACCTTATTGATGTGTGTGGCTCTGTTGATAAGTTTAGTGATATGGTTTCACAATGCAGTCCTCGACGTGTACCAGGGCTCGATTCATGCTATGTGCAGTTTGGTACAAATTGTGCTCAATGATACAGTGCTGGACTGTCATGTGAAGTCATCTGGGGTAAGATATTACGAAAGAACCCTAGCAATGGATAAAGAATTAGATAAAGAAATTACCATCCGATGCAGTAAAGCAAATCAACGTCGGGACATTTAGTCCATTTTTATTTACAACATAATTTCCAATCAAAAGGTAAACCAAGAACATGATGGACAGATAAAATCAGATAAACTCTACAACAGCATACTATGTTTATGGTCGAAGCGGCTAGAAAAGCGAAGAACAGAACCTTACATTTTGTTTTCTATTGTGACGTAAAAAGGAAACCACAAGACGCTGCTCTCGTGATGATGATGATGATGTTTATTGACCAGTATGTGAACCTATATTCATTGGAGACAGCCGTAGTGCTCACATATAGCGATCAGAGAACAACATTGAGCCTCGATATGAATAATTGCCTAATTGAATATTACCGTGTTACCCACTCGACCAGCAATGGGTCACACGACTACAGATATAAACATTGACCTGTGCAATAAACTGCAGTATTAAGTTTATCATTTAGGTGTGTTTTAATACTGTTTAATTTTGCGTAACTGTAAGTGAAGTAAAAGTGCGTGTGAATTGCTTTAGACATTTCCTTATTTAATTTTTAACCCTATGGTTTCGGGAATTAGTGTCCAATCTGTTACTTTTGCAGGTTAGTAAAAGTCTTCTACTGGAATCTATTTTGTTGTTATATTGTTACTATTGTTATATAATAATATTAAATATTTAATTGAATATTAAATTGTTAGTAACAACACGTTTATAGAACATTTGTTAGTAGTGTTAGACTGTTACCTATAATTATCTCCCTTTTCTATTTAATTCCCCTTGTGATTATTTCTACTTACTATCTTTATAACCTAGACATAATATCTGGAATATGGTTATCAACCCCTTTAACATGCATAATGTCAAATTTAAACTGTTGTAATAACAACGCCCAGCGGTAAACTCTGGCGTTTTTATTAGCATCTATGTTCTGCAGTTTTACCAATGCTAGATTATCTGTAATGATTGTAAATTTTTTCCCGATTAGGAATTTTTGAAATTTTTAAAAACTGATCACAATAGCTAATGTCTCTAGCTCGAACGCACTATATTTTTGCTCCGTTTGGGTGAGTTTTTGTGACATATAATATACAGGTAATAAAACATTAGAATGTAATTGAGCTAGCATCGAACTTATTGTATGCAAACTTGCATCAGACTGTAGATAAAATCTTTTTGATATGTCTGGCTGTCTTAGAATTGGGAATGTGGAGAAAGTTTCTTTAATTTTCTGTAACAATTCCTCACGTTGTTGATCATATTTTAGTTTTGTTGGTTGTCCCTTTTTTAACAGTTCAAATAACGGAAAGGTTAGGTCTGCCAAATTGGGGATAAATTTACCATAATAATTCATTAGCCCTAATAACGACTGTAGTTGTTTCCTGTTCTTTGGTTTTTCAATCTTCAAGATCTTTGATATTATCTTATCATATGTCTGTATTTTGTTATCATACACTTTATGTCCTAAAAATTTGATGGATGTGAACGCAGTTTCAGTTTTGGTTGGATTTACAGTAAGATTCGCTTCTTGTATTCTCTGAAATACATTCTCTAAAGTTTGGAGATGTTTTGACATATTGTCAGTATGAATACAGATATCATCCATGTATGCTGCTACGTTTTCAACGTTGTTTAATAGTTTTCTTATTAATTTAGTGAATATTTTTGGCGCATTCAAAATTCCAAATGGAACTCGTAACCATTCCTTTAAACCTAACGGTGATTGAAAGCTGGTATATTGTATCGATGTTTAAGCTATTGGTATTTGCCAGTAACCTTTTCATAAATCAAGTTTGGAAAAATACTTCGATTCATATAAACTCTGGAGAATATTTTCTGTACTTGGAATTGGTTCTGAATCCAATTCTGTGATGCTATTGAGTTTCCTGTAATCTACACATAATCTAAGTGACTGATCTTTCTTGTTTACTATCACTATTGGTG